CATCATATTTTCAACACCATTTTTTATCACCACTGTTTTCAACACCATCATCACCACACTTTTATCCCAACATCATTGTTAGTATCTTACACCATTATCATCACTACCATATCACCACCATCAACATAAGTATCATCACCATTTTATCATCATCATCACTACCACATCATATTTCATTTAAGGCATTTCTCAATAAGCCTATATTATTTTTCATATTGAACAAGTCTATTGTAAATTCTTTTTAATGTGTTTATATATTGTGCTATAAATATTTTATAATTCAAGTTTGCATATAGTTTGAATGAATAAATAATAGTTTGAATGAAGATAATTCAATTCAGTGTTTTGTTTTTGTTTTTGTTTTTTTTGGATTCTTTTTTTTTTTTGGATTATATTAATTATAATTTTAACTGTATTAATTACGATAATAATAATAATAATAACAATAATAATAATAATAATAATAATAATAATAATAATAATAATAATAATCATTATAGTAATTCAATTATTTTATCGATGGGAGTCATTGTATTTTACTTGTAAATTGTTATATTATCTATAGTGACTGTTTTTATGTTTTTTTTATATTTGTTTTACATTTTATTATATAATATGTGATGACGAGCAGAAGAATTTCCCTTGTGGAACAATAAAGTTATCTTATCTTATCTTATCTTAATTATAATCACCACCAATTATCTATCAACATTATCACCGAATTATCACTTTCACCACCACTATTATTATCACTATTATCATCACCTCAAACAGTGACATCCTGCAATCAACCCCCTTCTGCACCTACTGTACCACAATCCCTTTTGTTATACTCTATTGTATCAACTCATCTCATCAAGTCTTGCCATCCCATCTCATTTATCCCATTCAAGAGATATTCTTAGCAGCATATTTACAAGCAAAACAAATGTAACCATTATGAAATTATTTATCTTCAAAACAAATTAAGTGATAAGAGATTTGGTAATATGTACAAATTACGTAAATTACAAAAGATTGAAAGGACAACATGTGATGGCTACGTAAATGCGATTATAGCAGTAACAACAGTGATTACTATGGGTATTGATAATAAAACTAACTTATGGGTATGCTAATGGCAGCCATCTGAAATGAAAGCATAACTCTGTTGTGCTTTTGTACATAAGCATGTATTTAATTTAATATTAAGAGTATCTTCTTGAAAACAAATCTATGTTAGCATGATTTACAAAAAAACATCGAGTTCATAACCTTCAACCTTTCAAACTCTAAAAACATGTCAACTATTCGAAAATGATTAACAATTAAACTTAATTAACCTGGATTACTTAATCAAAATTTAATGGACTCTTCCACTAAGCAACCTCCTCCCTCTCCATTCCATATTGTTGCTAAAGTATTTCAAACAATTAACATTTGTTTGTGGACATGAATGTATTCGTGGCCCTGTCCTGAATTCTCAATAGTTAAGTTTGAATAACCTGTCCAGTAAGTTGGCTTACTCTTTGTATGTCTTATCCTAAGAACTTAAATTTAATTAACTGATTAATATTAATTAAATTAAATGTAATTGATTTGATTCATTGTGGGTTCCAAAATGATAAATTATCAAATACCTTTATTTAATTAAAATTAATTTATGTATGAATAAGTACAACTAAACTACTTTACAATATAATTGGATATCAATTAATTATCAATAAAAATGCAAAACCTTTCCCTCTGTTATTGTCATTTTAATTTCTTGAAATTATACACTATAAATTTGGCATATTATGGTGTTTTTTTGGTTTTTATTTTAAGAGAAGGAAATCTCTCTTGAATTTATCGATTTAACCTTTAATCTGATGGGTGTATCAAATGCCTGACACATATAAAGCGTTGTACTCATTAGCCAGCGAGGCATTCCGAACTGGCTAAACTCATATCTAGGCCAACAAAATAAAAAACTCCACCTTTTAACCTAGATAAATCAGTTATTATGACATCTGCCAGCCATATTTAAAATAGTTCTTCCAGGCAACTATTTGAACAAATTAAAAGCAGCATTAAATTTACTAATATATTAGTTACCTATAGATTTCAGATAGTTTATACATTTCTAAGACATGCTTGTGAATTTATAGCTGGAAATAAATTACACTAAATAAGAAACAGATTTTAATTAGGCCTTATCCATGTACAGTGCCTTATTAAATATCAGTTGAATTAGAGTTTAAATGTTTAATAATTATTTGAGAAATCTTTTCAATTAACTTCAAACATGTAAGTAAGAGTTTAAGGATTTGCTATTTAAAGGGGAGTTATGGGTTTGAATTACCATGTTCCAAAAACAAAAACAAAAAAAACAAAGGTGCAAACTGAAATTTTAAACCTGGAGCCTACCTTTAATCGGGCCTGATTTTGTTGAGAATTGTGATCATAGTTATATCATGAAAGCAGTTGCACTTTTTCTTATATATAAACTTTATTTCAAACTTGAAAATAAAAGCCCAGCATTCAGGATCGAGATATAAAATTCATACAACATTTAAATAATCCATACATTAATTTGAAGAACGAGATATAAAATTCACAGAACATGAAATAATCTCAACCATGAGGTCGGGGTTCGAACTCCACGCTGGCCAATGGCTCGTATACTTGAAAGGCATTTAATCAATGTTGGTCTCTCCACCATTGTGTGTAAATGAATACCTGAATGAGTACCTGGATGGGCATGTTACTGAGTATTTTGTATATATTCATGCTGGAAATATCCCTTAGGGAGCAGAAGAGCTTGCAGATTAGGCCTGCTCTTTCTAAAAATCTTCAAAAGTTTAGATATATGGAAAAATTTTATATACGGTCAAACAAGGTTGTTACTTCATTTGAACAAGAATTTTGAACCTTCCAGCTCAAGGATAACAAGCTGAGCCTCAGTAACTACTGTATGGCAACCATTACAACAACTGCTCTAGCACATATTATGGTGACATAGATTTTTAGCTCCGATGAGGAGTTCTCGGCAGATTGATTAATAGATCTTTTTTTGTATGGGCGGCAGATTGGGCCAACATACTCTACTGCCTCAGTTATACTGCCCTCATTGGAGCTTTGGAGATTATGAGAACTTGTTTTAAAGGGACTTACAGGTATTTGAATAGATAATGAAGAAAATAAATGTTTGAAATGTCTATATTGTCATTCATTACTGTTTGGAAAGATAATTATTTTATTGACAGAACAAATTTTTAATGTTGGGAGGGGATAGGATGGGAGAGCTGAATTTTTTCTATTTTCCTAAGGCTTGAGACTTTCCCCATGCCTCTCTGAATTTGCCATTGCATTGCCCAAATTCTGTTCTGACCATATTAATAATGTAATGTAGTAGGACATTCTTATATAATTTTCATATTGTTATTTATACTTTTAAAAGGTGAAAATGATTTCTTTTATACTAAGTCACAAGTCAAAAAGTCAAAACAACTGGCACATTAAGCCTTAGGCTGACTGTGAAGAACTCTGCCATTAACCTATATAATCAAGTACAAAGTAGGATCTGAACTCGGGTCCACTGTGAATTAAAAGCATCATGCCCACAAGACTTTCTCTAGCTCATTTTTTTCCCTTAATTATTTCAGAGGCACCGTATAGTGCAATTCTTTTGTAGCCGTTGATAACTCGGCTACAGCGGTTAACAAAGATGATGACATCACCAACAGGAAAAAACATATACAGTACAAATGTGTTATACTATTGAAATCACAGAGATAAAGCAAATGCGGGAATAAAAGGAAGGGACAATGCTGTAATATACTACACGGCAATAAATGTACATAATTAAATTAGAACGTAGATAAGCAATGTCACTGTAAGTTTATAACAGGTGCCGCAATAGTGGCTATGATTGCTTTTAGCTTTATCTCAATATTACGTTGTCATTAAAATGTTTGCATTCATCCATCTTGTATACAAAAAAAATCATAATCTGAAATATAACTTCAGGGATCTAATCAGTAAAAAACTGACAGAATTTTTTGCTAAGCAATTCAGCTCGATTAATAAATCTTCATTTCTTTTCTTTAATTCTTCAAGCATAGATAAGTAAATGTTCTAATCTACAGTACCCGAGTGATTTTGTAAAATGGTATATAATCATATAGTTAAATATTTAGGTATACCTGCTTATTCTTCATCTATAATAATACTTGCATATAATTTTAAAATGTGTAAAACATACATCACCATACTGGTGATTTCATAGGGCTGTTTTGGGTTACTAAAATCAAAAGTAAAATACAAAAAAACAATATTTACGAAGTATGAAAGATAATGTAAATGTATAGAAAGATTATAAAATTAACTGAGATAAAAGACTAAAACATGACATCAAAAAAAAGTTCCAAGTGTCATTATTGAATATTATTAAATTATGTTTTATTTATTATATCTTAGTTATTTTTATCTATTTATATTTACTTTGAATTTTAGTATTTATCGTTCAATGTAATATTATGTGTCATTCTTAGGTTAGTTCTTGTAGTTTTTAATTATGTTCAATTTATTTCATTTTATTTAATTACCTAAGTGTAATTTACTTCTTTGAATTTTAGTCTTCATAGTTAATGTAATATTACATATTATTGTAATGATTTAAAATTATATTTTATAAGGTGTAATGTTAAACTTCATATGTATCACATTTACCAACTAAGACTTTTCCACTAATGCCATCTTAAAGAGGTACAGTAATTCAGAAATTCTTATCTCAACACGTCAGAGGAAAAATTTACAATTATTAATCCAGGGATGCAACCTGAAGGCATGTAATAAACCCCGGACTGTACAACGATGGGGATATAGCAGCATCTGACTTTAGATAATTTAGGACCTGTCAGACGACTCTACACTACTAAGCGCAGCTGTACACAGAGTCAGCTGCCTAGAGCGTACTTAACGCATTAATAGTTAATTGCACTTGTACCCATAAACTGCTATCTGACAAAAGTACGTACCTACATCGCAAATCCTGACTGCCAAACGAAGGCATCCTCCTTTCAATATGCAAATAAGTAGGCCTGGAAAATAAATAAAGCAATATCAAATTTAATAATGCATACTTTTCTTTAATTATCAATAATACAAATCAATATTTATTATATATTTCTTTGGTCAAATATTTCTATTGTGTAATATGCCATTTCTTAATCTTCAAATTAGCTTGACTTTTGATCATAAGATTTTGCTTAGCTTATTTAAGTATCAAAACTCTATGGTACAGCAGAAGCTCACTACTTGATCATACAACTGAGGGGAGGGGAGGGCAGGCTTATATAGTACATGGGGAATCCCCTTTTCACAAATGATAATGATGACCCTATATTAAACAGACAGCGTTTTTAATTTGCAGGGATATCCAATCAAAAAGAAACAAATTTGTTATTTTTTTATCTTCAAAATGATGTTTGGAAGTAGCAAATAAAATCTATACATTTATTAATATTACTGATAAAACAGTTATAGTTTATCATTGTTAACATAGATACTTGCTTCAACTCAAGACTAAATTATTTAATGCTACTTGAGCCATCATGGGCAATTATCCTCAATTACAAATTAACAATTTCAAATACATCAATCAAAATTACATTTATGATAAAAAACGTCATCTTCTTAAATTAAATTAAGTAAACTTAAAAATTAAAAGCTGCTTAATGTCTGTAGGGGTGATCAAGGGCCAGGTCGTTAGAGAGACTAAGAGTAATTACGTAGGGTAACATATTTAATTATAGCAGGGTTTTATTTTCATTTTTTATATATAGCAGAAATCAAAAGCAATTGCATGGAATATGTACTTATATTGGCTGAACATATTTTAGATATAAAGATATTCATAATGACATATCTCTGCCTGTATTTGCCTTAGTTTGAAAATTTGACCATTTTCTGTCTTCAAAATATGAAAAATATATATTTTTTGGGTGAAATGTATAAAAACTACACACCATGTCCTATATTACATATACATTGATTAAGAAGCTCAATTCATAATGTGAAGCCTCAGGTAAGAAGCTGTCTAATCCATGAAATAACACACATGTAAGTATGAATTTTTTTAAACGGTTCAAAACAGAAACAAATGTCAACTCCAGGTTAGTAAAAAAAAAATCTTTATGCCAAATTTTACCTTTAAACCGAGTCAGGGGCTTAGCCAGAAAAATGAAATAGGCCGTCTAAAATGGAAGCCAGTGGGTGTGGCCCACCCATCGGCTTAGGGCCACGCCCCCTCCCAAACAAGAAAAAAATAGAAAATTATGATTTTAGAAGGCATTTAAAGGTGTTTAAATGTTGGAATTTTGTCTTCAAAGGAATAGTGTTGAATTAGCTATCACAAAGATATTTCAGTTATATACATAGATTGCGCATGGCTATTTCCACCAGGCTATGCAATGCATCTTCATCTCTCGCCTTAGTTTGGTGTAAATTTTAGCTTTACATTTTTGGAAATCTCCATCGAATATTGATATGAAACAATGTACATTCAATCAATAAATGTTGTTTTTATCAAACGTAAATATGATTTAGCTTAGTTTAATGTAAAATTCGATAGATTTGAAGAATACAGAGAATTTGCTAAAGGTAGACCAGGCCCAATTAGGCTAGGCCGAGCTGATTAGGCCAAGCCGTCCAAACCAGTCATGGTAAAAGTGGCCATCCTAAATAATTGTTGGCCATCCAAAAGATGGCCGGAGGGCTCGCTGGTTAAGCCTATGAACCAAGTTGCCTGATGTAGTGAAGTAGAATTAATAAATATATGAATACGAAAACTGAGTCTGGTAACTTATTATTGATACGAGTGATAAACTAATTCAATATGCTAATGACATGCATTAGCATATTGTGTTAGTTTATCGCTATATGCTAATGACACGCATTGTATTCAGAATAACTAGGTGAAAGAATGAACTTGAATTAAACCTTATTGTGCTTTGTGGTATTGCTGCAATACTGCGATAGGCTTTACTGAATACTCTGGCATGGAAAACAAAAATTGCAAGTTGGCATTGTATGAATTTCACTCATACAGTGGTAGAGCAGGCTTAAGCAAGGTCCAGAAAATCAACTTTTATTTGACAAAAACATATGACATGCCTAAATATGGTCAGGACATGCCTAAATATGGTCAGGACATGCCTAAATATTGCCAGGATGAATAAAGCTTAACAGTGAAAATATTTCATCACTCACAACACAAGAAGCACAAAGTAGTTTATGAAACAGAAAACATTTTTTTGTTACACATTTATTGTCAAGTACTTCTATTCTAAGGAAGTATCTTTGTGAGCAAGCAAAAACCATATTTCTTTGTGTCAAGTCAAAAATGAAAAAAATTATAACCTTATAAATAAAGAACAGAGTCAGACCCAAAATTAGAGTGGAGTGGTTAAGATGCTTGCCTTCCAATCCCAGGGTCCTGGGTTCAATTCCAGTCAGTGTTGCAGGATTTTTTTCTCACGACCAAAACAATTCCACTCCCTAAAGCTCATATTGGGATTTAGGTTGGTAAAGCATCGTGTGTATATCTGTCTTGTGTCAAGTAAGAAGGTGATATATTCACTAGTGACAATCCTTGTTGCATGTGTTAATAATACATTTGGTGAGTGGTCATTTGTGGTGGTGTGACTGAGTGGTTAAGGTGCCCTCTTTCTAAATTTATGACTCTGGGTTCAAATCCTGTAAATCGTTAGCCAAGAACATTAGGATTATGGTGTGGCCTATTTTTCAATCAACCTACTCTGACTTTCAATAATTTTCACTTGGCAACATAATTTTTCATTTTTTGCCTCACTATTATCAATATTTATATAAATAATATAATAGTATGCTTGATCCCTTCAATGAAGCTACTCTTTTGGGACATTCAATGCCGTAAAACCGGGTTTCTATGACGCTTGGAGAGTGACGGTAAAGGCAAAGTAGGCAATTAACCCATAACTAGCAGCATCATTGCGCTGAATTGCATACGGGCATGGTCAGTGATCTGCCAAAGCTAGGCGCTTAGTATTCGCATCCTTCCATAACTTGGTTTAAGTCAACCGGAGCAACCCCCTAATCTGAAAGAAACTGGAAAGTTTGACTAGACATAAAGGTACACCAGACCTCTGATGTTAAAGGTCACAGGTCAAGCTGGTGTCACTGTTACTTTATCACAAAGAGTGAAGTTTCCTGGTTGTGAGAATTAACCCCTGACACTACTTGGCAAAGATTTAATCAAATTGAGTTACTACTGTATAGCAAACATTAATCACAAAAACTTTTGGATTACTGTCTCAGAAATATATGAATCGAAAATAATAATTGAGAAACTTGTGTTTAACAGAATTTTAACCCAGTCACAAATTTAGAAAGAAGGCACTGTAACCATTAAGTCACAACACTGCAATTGACATTTAACACAAGCTTGCTTATAGTAATTAAATTTTGTTGAGTACTATAAATATTAAGTATTACTACAAAAGATTTAAGTATCGAAAATTTAATTAAGAAACCAAATCTGTTAGTTACAGGATTTGAACCCAGAGTCACAAATTTAGAAAGAGGGCACTGTCACCATTCAGTCACGGTACCGTTACCATTCAGTCACACCACCACAAATGACTTTTAACACAAGTCAAAAGATCAGCACTATCCAGTGAATAATCCGTCATGATATAGCAGAAATGAAGTGTAATTCATTAAATGGATTAAACCTAATTAAGCTAATTAATATCAATTAGGAATGACCTTTAATTCTAATATGTCCACTACACGCACATTAGAGTGTACTTCCTGGAGGTTTATTGCACAACTATTACGCCAATTTTTCAATACAGAAGTGATTACACCAGTGGAACTCAAGGTTATCGTGAATGAAAACAAGAAGTAGGACAAACGTTACGTGCATATCTAAATTAATGAAGAAGCTCTTGCTTCAAGTGAATGTTACTTCATCGAAGGCTCACACAACGAGGATACATAATCAAAATTTATTGGCTAAAGATTTTGACCCAGTCCCACTTTGTGTTTTTGCCTTTCAATATGCTCTCTCTGCTGGTTGGTTAAAAATGCATATTGCTTCGAGCGTTTGCATATCTAAACGAAACATTGACCATAGTTATTTCAATTCAGTCAATATAACCGTATATGTTTGGTATGGGCTGCATATGCAAAATCCTATTTACCCAATACATTGCATTAGATCTACTTACATTATTATAGTTCTGTGGCACAATAATACGCCATCATTTTGATATAAATCCATTACTAAATTAAGATGGAATAAGAACTTTTTTTTTAAATGGACATGGAAAAAAAATATAAATAAAAAATTATATACTGTAATATAAGTCTCAACTTAAACGACATGCAGTATATGCATATATGTTCATATAAAAAAAAAAAATTTTATCCCATGCAATTATTTTTGTAAAAACAACTGCATGTGCTAAATAATTTTCTTCATTTTGTTTTGATTATTATTTTTACCAACTCCTTTTAAAGATGTATATTCCCTTGAAAATACAAATACAAAAACATTAAAAGAATAATTTTGAAATTAACATGCATTTTGCATTAACATACAAATTAACTTGAGCATAAAAATTACTACCCAGATTTTTAAACTGGATAATTATAATAATAATAGAACACTTCTAGTGACTGGAAGTGTTTCTATGATTTTTCGTTGTAAAATTATGGGTAAACATTTTTTAAATACACTAATTTCTTTGTTCAAGTTGATAATTTTTGTGTAACTTCAAAATGGCAAGTTAATTTCAAAAATGACTTTTATGATTTTTTTGGTATTTTTCATAGGACAATACATCTTTAAACAATAAGCACAACTAAATAATAATAATAACAACAATTAAATAGTCATAATTGATAAAGATGTACTGTATATTTCTGTACACCTTAACAACTTTTAATTGATATTTAAAACTGTTGTAGCACCACAAAAAAAAAACTTTGAAAGTATGTCTAAAGTTAACAATGTATGTTGTTATGCTTTTTTGATATATCTTTTTAAAAACAGGAA